TTTTTCTCTAAAATTGAAGTAGAATCTTTTCATCCAGTTTGTTCAAGTGATTTTGTTTCCTCTAATTGGCTTATATATCTCGGTACGCAGTATGGACCACCTGATTGGACTTCTAATCAAGATTTTCGTCAATGGGGTGCCGCTTATTTTCGTACACGTCAAACACTCTGTTCAGTAGCCAAGGCTACTGTAACTGGGATTCTGGAGAATTTTTTCTCATCTATTTCAGTTATCAATCGAATCATATCACAAGATGAATTCAATAGGCAAATGAATGTTACTCTCGATCATCTAAAAGGATCGATGCCTGAAACATTCATTCAAGCTTTAACATTGATTCGAATTACAGGTCAATCCAATGGTTTGATGAATGTTTTTTCGTCTAATTGGTATTTTTATTTGAGTGAAAATCAAAGTAGCATGGATATATTGGAAAGTCGACCAGTTCACTACAAGACTTCTACTTGTTCATGCGCTACTTCACGACAATGTTCATCACCAGCTGCATTATTCTATGACAACTCAACTATTCTTCATGTTATTGATGGACTTCAATTTGGTTGCACGATTTTAGAATCACTTCTTCTTTCATCCTTAGAATGTTTCTATAGTGCTACATGTTTACAAGCATTGTTCGATGTTATGCCTCTTGGTAGTTCCTGGTTCAACTGGCAATATGATGTTCCGCTGAATTATTTTTTACCGATCAATCTTAGTACGTCAAACTTTGGCATCAATGATACCATTGAAATGATTGTTAATAGAGTATTCATCGATTCTTGGAACATTAATTTTTCATACGAACTGTTCCACGAAGCGTGTGCTTCTCGACAATGTTCATTTACATACAATTACCGATTTGATTTATTGGCTGTATTAACAACGTTTTTAAGCGTTTTTGGTTCACTGGCACTCGCTTTAAATTATCTTGTTCCTTGGTCGATAACATTGATGAATAAAATCCTAAATCGATGTCGTGTTGCGCCTCATTAGTAAAGAAATACTAATGAATGAAATTGCTTTAATAAATTGCTTCTTTTTCTCTTCATTAAAATTGATATTCTTCATATATTGATAATGTATCAAACATCTTATTCTATAAATGAGTTTTAACGAATTGATGGCATGTAGATGTACATGAAGAAAACATCGACAATCACCGATGTATTACCAATCCTATCATTTCTAGATTTTGTGTCAGATATATTCCAGTTCCTGGAGATTTTCAGATTGTATTTCGAGAAACTAAGATGAAACTTTCAGCTCTATTTATTGTAATTAATCTTATTTTTTTAAATAGAACATAAAAATCATCAGAAATAGATATTTATATTAATAATTTATTCAAAAGAAAACAGGGTATTACTGAGGATTCTCATGATAATTCATTCTATATTCGTTTTATTTCCTAAACATCG